CAAAACTACACAACAATTCACCTGAAACCGACATGATGGCCCCCCAGTTGTCGAATTCACCACAGTACTATTATCGATACCGATTAGCAAAGCCAAATCATCTGACTGCAGATACGTCAGAATGGTGTCAGTAAGCACTTACATTAGGGGCAGAAAAGACGGTAACGAGAATTCGATCCTGGTAGAACTCATAGCCATCCTCGACGACCATGTGCGCTCGGCAGACCAAGTCGAAATCATGACGTTGCAAGAAGTCCATGATGACCTTCTTACCGAAGCAGTAACTCACACCGCGCTCGTTCGGCTCCCAGTCCTCTTCCATATCCGCAGGGTCGCTCCACAGAAGGTCATTCAGCAAACCGTAGTCCGGCACATCGGTCGGACGTGCGATTCCTCGAATGTCATCCATATGCGAGAGGCTAGGAGACAAACCACCATGGACACAGAAGATCTTGCCAGCGACGATCGCAGCAATGGGGAGGCAGTTGAAGGTATCGATGAAGGTCTTCCAGATCTTGATGTTGCAACGCCGTTTACATTCATCATAGAACCCATAAACGCGGGTTACGTTGGCACACTCATGGTTGCCACGTAGAAGGAAGAAATTCTCCGGGTATTTCAGCTTATAGCAAAGCAGGAGAAGAATCGTTTCCAGACTCTGCTTTCCACGGTCCACATAATCACCCAAAAACAGATAGTTTGAAGCAGGAGGGAATCCGCACATCTCAAAAAGCCTGATAAGATCCGTATATTGACCATGAACATCTCCGACAATCTTGACAGGGGCTGACAGCTCCAACAGAGCCGGCTGAGAGAGGAACAACTCCCGTGCAGCGGTACAGATGGCCGTGATCTCTGCGTTCTTCAAGCAGACGGTCTTGGTAACCTTGGTCGAGTATCCGGCGTCGAGAAGCCGCGAAATCATGTCGTCCAAGTCAATAGACTTCAGAGCGCCCATTCCCATACCTGGAGAACTAGCTGCCTCGAGCGGAGTGTTCATGATATAATCCAAAATGGGGTTGAGTTGATTCTCCTTTTTTATGAGGATAGATTCACCCACGGCCTGCGAGGATGGGCCCACGGGAGCAACACCAGTGGGAGGAGCGTCCGACACATGGTCAACCTCGCCACTTTGTTGCATAGCACTCACATCTTGGTGTCCTCGCTTCAAACTGCTCGACAAGGATGGGGATGGGGGAGGCTCGGGGGCATCGGGTGTCGCAGCAGGGTCCTCGGCGGTAGGAGACTGTGCACTCAGATTGGTAGAGCTGCGTCGACTTGCTGCCGATTTGATCGAGCCAGCATCCGACCTGTCGGTCTGGCTCTCCGTTTGTGACAGGGCGGACGTCGATGCGCGGGGACTGTCACTGCTACGGATTTTCGAGCGGATCGATCCCCGAAGAGAACGGAGCGATTCTTTGGTGTCCGACCGAGAGAAAGATGGATACGACTGCAAAGAGTCGCCCGGGCTAGAGTTGCCCTTGGAATGCGACTGACCCATTACTGCAGGGTGAAATATCTGCCAAGCTCGATCTCGGACGTCTATACAAGCGATATACGTTCAAAGTGTGAACACCAAGCCCTGCGATGCGTCGGAATGCTAAGAACTCGTCTTGGCTGCTGCCTAGTCCCAGGAGGATTGGTTCAAGTATAAAAGAAACAGATCTTCCACAACGGTATGGACAGGAAAAAGACCAGTCCTCGATCGCGAAAGTTGGCGGTGACGGGAAATGCAACGGAGCAATAATCGGGGGCCAGTTACGACGAATATCAGTACAAGGAGGGAACCAGTCCCCGGAAGGTGTTGCAAAGATTATAAGGCGGTTCGACAGATCGGTGATGTCGAAGAGTTATCGGAAGGAATGGATGGACATTGAGCGGAGGGATGAGAGAGCTTCACTATGAAAGCCGCCGACAGCTAGTAGGTGCTCGGAAGGGGAAGCTCCGATTCGCCGAGAAGAGCTCCTAGGGACGTGCGGGTTAGACGAGGCTTGAGCAGGCAGCGACAGACGGAACACAAGAATCACAAATACAGAGGGGGAAAAAAAATTAAGAAAAAAAGGAAGAATAATATTGGAGTTAAGTTGAGAGTGGCATGTGTAGGAGAGATCCGTGACGGCTGGAAGCTTTGTACGGAGAATTTGGGTCGAGTTCGGGGCTGTGGGAGGGGAATAATAATAGAGTGTGGAATGGATGCGTCATTATGGGGTGGGAAGAATGGAGATGAAACCAGACCGGATAGGAAGGGAAACTTACCCTCGCCAGACAACTGGGGAGATTGAAGCACTGAAAGCTGACGAGAGAGAATGTGATGGAGGGAGAGGGGTTTGTCAGAGTTGGTAAGTATTTGGAAAAGTCTAGTTGATCAAGGAAAAAGAAAGGAAAAAAGGGGAGAGTCGAAAGTGTAGTAGTAGTTGTAGCTTTGTTGGATGTCGCCTCAATAATCCCCCAGGCTGTCGTTTTTGGTCTCGATCCTGCAGCCAAAGCGGGTGTGGCATTTCCCGGAGGATCTGTCGGCCCGGCAGAAGCTTGGGCGGCTTGGGAGGCCTGAGGATGAAATAGAGCTGCCTAGAATCTCTGGTCACCGAAGAGATGGATAGATAAAGAGATAAAGAAATCAATAGAGATTCGAATTTAAAGCAACCACTCCCTACCAGAAGTCTATCTTCTACGACTACCCAACTTGCCCTGTCTGTGCCCGGTTCTTCTTATTTTATATCACCACGGACTATAGGCAGGAATAGTTTGGTGTCGGCGAACAGAAAAAGGCTTACACGCCCCTCCCCTCCTCCAACCGATGACCGAGCCACATTTCAGCCCCTCGTGACTACTATACATACAGTAGAAAGTTGACACCACGCAGCAGCACAGACACGTTCTCGTCTCTCCATCGCACCCGTCTCTTTTCTTGGCTTCGTTCTCTTCAGGGCATCATAGGTTCCTCGCGCTTGCAACCATGCATACAGTTTTCAATCCAGCCTGGAAAGCCGGACGCACCACTTATCTTCGGATGATCACCGACTGTCAGCCTCTCAGATGCTCCGAGCGCTCCCGACAATTCCTTGAGGGAATTCGTCGGTCTGCTCCATCATTGGTTGAACCGTAACGCATGTAGTCATAGACTTCTGCCAATTTAGATAAACTGCCATCCCGCTGGGGTCGAGTCGACAACCCCTCCTCCAACGCAGGGCCGACGACGGATCATGAGGCGTAGAATAATGTGCTATGCAAGATACTTCTTAGTCACAAAGGTGGCAGGACGCAACCTCAGTCAGCAGCAGGTCCAAACTCTACCCCACTGCAGGAACACCGCCATTTCCATCTCCAAACCCAGCTCAGCCTGGCCATGATCATGGCTTCTGCTGCCAAGCCCCCTCTACTGCGCCAAGCACCAACGACTTATGTCCGATCTTTTCTCCTAGCCACGTTGTGGTGGGCATGTTTTGGGTGATGTGCCTTGGCCTGCGTTGCAGTCTAGCTGATGCGGGTAAAAGATTCCAACCATGGCATGTGTGACACTGAATGGGATTACTGCGCAGGTGAATATGCAGAGTCCGCCTTTTTGACTCGGCGCTAATAGGTGTATTTGTCCAGTCGATTTCAGTACCTCCCCGACGACCATCATTGGTCACCCTATGACCGCCCGCCAAATCCTTAATATGAGAAAGCTGGGGCCGAGCGGTGTACAGCTTTCAAGATGTTCGTAGCGCAACTTGGTAGACGGAATTATAGAAAAACGGCGAACCGCCATTTTCATTCTACTTCTTCAGGGACTCCCGCGCGCGAATCTGCTGCGGGGTTTCCTCCAACTCAATTTTCGTAATATGTTGACCAGGAACGACCACAAGACCGATGAATCGACTCGTCATATCCACCTTGATGCTCTGGGCGTCGACTGCGCTACCGGCGGCTGAATCATGCGTACCCGTGGCGGCGTCTCGAACAGTAGATGGGGAAGGGAAGCGGTATTCGTAGGTGCTGGCAAGGATGATATTTCGTGCCTAATGCGGCCAAAACAAGTCAGCAGGCGCTAATTTATTTTCTTTCTCGTATTCTTGGTTTTCCTATCCCTCCGAGCTATCCAAACAGGATAAGTGAAATGGGAACTTATAATAAAAACATACCGCATCCGTACACTTGAAGGTACCCACGAAAATGCGCGTATCTGTCGCGTGCACTCGTAACGTCCGACCGATCAATGAGTCCAGATATTGAACTGCTTGATTTCCATCCATTGTGCCCTCTCCTGTTGTACCAATCGATTGACGTAAGGCAACCTGCCTAGCCACACCTTCACTCTTAAGCGGGGTGGGGTTTGACCACTAGAAGAAAGAGATCTGGCGGTCTAGACTATTCTGCGTTGTCCCAAGGCGAGGCGGGAAAATAAATCAAGGGGCGAGATTGGGGAGTCTCTTATAGCCAGCTGAACTCAAACGCCTAGTCAGACTGGACGGAATCCGGTTGGTTGTCGGGGGGAGAAAGATGGTCACCGGGTCGCGACAAAGAGAGCCGCTGGAGACCTCAGGCATTCTTGTCGCATGTGACGTTCCGCAATCAGGCACACTATAGCCTACAACGGCTCGTTTAGAGATGGATCTCGCTTCATATTAAAAGAAAAAACTCTCTATCACTAGAAGGAGCTAGATACGTGTAATTAAAGCACAAACTGCTGCACCTTGTTCACCATAATAATTACGTGAAATTATTGTTTGCGTCGCCTAGTATATAGTGGTATAACGATCCTCAACACTTCTTGGAAACTATATACATCATTTCGTCTATATCATCTGCAACTCGGTCGCCGAGGTAGCTCGGAGTGACTTCAACTCGAGTATCTTGGCAGCCATTTCGGGCAAGAGAAGCAGGTCCCGGGCTGCTTTGATTCATGCCTCCAGTAAAGGAAGACATGCAGATGAATACGCCTTGCAACGTATGTCAAGTGGCAGCGTCGTGACGCGACCAATATGACCAGCACATTGGTCCGCGCCGATAAATATTAATGTAAGGTAACTCAAGGTATCATCGCTAAAAGAAGTAATGTCGTCGGTATCGCACGCTATGGGTGAAATGCACCCTGGACATGATCGAGCACTCATGCCCAACCAAACCCTCCGAATGGTCTCCGAGGTTCTTGGACTGACTCGTTGGTTATCGAGTGCATGTCCATATCACTGCCCGTGAGCTGCGAAGATGGGCTACTTGTACTCCAGCCAGTCGAAGTAACTGGCGAGGACAAATTGAAGTTGGGCGATTGAAAGGTGGTTGTCTGGAGTGGTATGACATGGTTCGATTGTTGATCCAGCTTGTTCATGCGGATGTGGGAGGGTGTGGATTGGGAAGGTCGGAAGAATTTGAGCAATGTCTGTTGGCGAGGGTCGACAATTTCGGACGATGGTACAGGTTCTGGCTCAGTTGCCTCGTCCTCGTCTATGGAAGGAGTGGGAGCTTGGTGTTGTTGTTGTTGAGCCGTAAAAAGCCATCGCATTGTGTTTTCTACTCTATGTGAGACAATTGCTCTCAGATTGTATAGGTGCACTCTTCCAGGACACATACCATAGACTACTTCGTCATCCGGGCGATCGTTCCTGAAGCGCTTGCGGGTGCGACTGTGGAGGTGCTTGGGAGAATCATCTGCCACAAATGATGGTCGTGACAACACAGGAGCAGGATTGGATGATGTGAGACTGGGAACCGAGGCCTTGCGCTTAAGAGACATGGTGTTGAGGCGGGGAAGGTTCAGGTCTCTGGTGTCGCGTGCGAGTCGTAAAGAGTTTATTTCTCGGTTGAACAATGCAGAGAACCGTTTTGAGAGGACAATGTGAAGAATTGATCGTGCAGAAAAGTTTAATTCACGAACAATGGGTAACTGTGCAGGCTGATATATAGAGTCGTTGGCTACAACAGGGCTGGGGAACAGCCTTTTCCAGTGTGGTTGGGAGAAGGATACCGGCGCGTCGGAGTCACGGGGGAAGCGTGAGCGAGACCGCGTCGCAATACACAAAATATGCGCTATTCCGATTTGGGGTAAATTGATCCGTCCATACCAGTGATCGCAGGAGATAAAGATAGCAGATAACAGAACCTTGGATCCCGGCATAGTACGAATCGCTAGTTACTACTCCGTAGTTATACTCAATATTATCTCATATGAAAGACTATACGATGCCATTCAGGCATTCCGCTTCAGGGTTTAGCTGTATCGGTATACACTCTAAACTCACTTCAATCACTGACGACCACGACGCTGACACTAGAGATCATAAAGCCGGAAACTACTCTGCTTTTTGCATGATCTCATACTGATTGTTAGTCCTTTGTTGAAGAGTGTCTATGATCGGCATGCTGCCCTCTCACTGCTGCCCGCCCTGCGTCTCGATGGGCTTGGGCCCAGCTGCATTCTTCTTTGCGGAACCCGCAATGACGAGAGTTCCGCCTTCCCCGCTTCTGCCTTATCAAGCTGCCACCGACTATTGTTCCTCGTCGTCCGAACTCTTCACTTAGACTTTTCCCAAGTCAAACCATTATATATTGTGGATATCATCGAAGTGCTTTTCTAATAGCAAACACTCCAACACAATTCAAGACGGACGGCTCAACATGGATGCTCGTGAAGATAGTCATGCTGGTTCATGGTACTCCGACGATAAATCCACCTTGTCCTATCAACTTGACCACTGGTTGCAAGAGGTACCGGATGAGATCGAGGGCATCGGCCAACTACCAGTGCCTGGTGCACGAATGATCATTGCGCCGTATGTATCGAAAAGAGCAATTTGCATCTTGCTTCCTTGTCCTAATTTCTTCTCAGGCACGCAGGCTATGCATACTCCGGACGATGTGCCGCTTTCGCCTATAAGGCCCTGGACCTGTCACAAGCGTGAGTAATAGCCCTCTAGCCTCACTCTCGCTATCCACTGAAGCAAATAACTATACAGCAAACGAATTTTCGTTGTCGGACCATCGCATCACCATTACTTCACGACGCTTGCGCTTCCTGAGTTCACTTCGTACCATACCCCGCTCTCCGACGACCCTCTACCGCTTGATACCGAGTTCATTGCCAAGCTACGTTCAACCAGAGCAGGGTCACGAAATGGGCTAGAATTGCAATTTACCACTATGTCTCGCTCCGTGGACGAAGCTGAACACAGTATCGAACTGCATTTACCTTATATCCACCGTCTCCTACAACGCCAGCGTCCGAATCAGCCAACATCTGAATATCCGCCACTGGTCCCTATCTTGGTGGGTGCTGTTACTGAGTCGACCGAGAAGGCTTTCGGAGCTTTGCTTGCTCCGTATATTGATGATCCAGAGAATGCTTTTGTCATCAGCTCCGATTTCTGTCATTGGGGGCAGCGGTTCCGTTACACGTACTACACCCCCCAGGCTCCTAACCCTGGGCCCAGCATTCCCGTTTCCGCTCCAGGCCTCCCTCAACCCGGTATTGATGGCGATAATGTAACCGATCAAATGGAAATGGTGTCTACCGGTCGCTCCTTGAAGTCGCGGGACCGGATTAGGAGCCGAGAACCACCTATTCACGAGAGTATCTCGGCAGTCGACCTTGCGACCATGGCAGCAATTACCACCGGAGAGTACGCGCGCTTCTCGACGATACTCAAGAATACAGGGAACACTGTGTGTGGCCGTCACCCCATCGGCGTGATAATGGCTGGTATCGAAGAGATTAGAAAGAATGAAGGGGAAAAGGGCAGGTTTCACTTCATCCGATATGACCGCAGTTCAAATGTGATAGAGGTGGACGATAGCTCTGTGAGCTATGTTTCTGCCTTTACCGTGCTCTAGGTTAGCACATGCCCACTGCTAAATGAGAACCCAGAGGAATTGTCATCTGTATCCAATCCTTGCTAGGGACTGTGAATAGCCGCGTGCCCTTAAGGCTCTCTAGTATGGTGTAGGAATTACTATACAACTACTGCCATTAGATATGTCTTTCGGGTATCCTCGCCTTCACCCTCCGCATGAAAGCGGCCTGCTCATCACCTTGGCAGCATTTCCCGACCAAGGAATGGAATCCTTGGGAGGTTGAGATCACCCGTCCTGCTCCCACGAAAGGGTAGCATAGAGGTAGCATTGCTAGGGAGGCTACGGAGGCCGCTTGCAAATCAAGGTCATGGTGGGCACTCTCGTTGGGCCATTGATTGATGCCCAATCCATGAGGTTGAATCTGGAGGATTCTGCTATACCCGCCATGACTGGCATGAAGAGATGGTACTCTCGGAGAGGCTTGAACAGGCATCGACGAGGGCAAACGAACGATTGAAGATCATTGTCACATGGGCTCCCGATGGAAGCAAAGAAGGTTCGCCGTTACACGGCAATGGTGGGGGTTGGATTAAGGTAACTCGGCCACTCCGGGGCAATGACCCCAAAGAGACTGGAGAAAACGCCTCACGCCTGCCGTCTGTCGCTCACTGCGTGGTGCCGGTTTGCGGCGGGACTACATATGGTCCGATTGTCTGGTGATGGGATCGCGTGGCTGACCTGCCTGGCCGGTTACCCCGCAGCTTTGCGCGATGGTCTGCCGGGGATGGAGGAAAAAGCAAGTCGACATCCCTCATGCATGATGCAGTGTTCAAGAGGTTGCATTGGGCTGAAGAGAGTGTTTGACTTTGGTACGTTGGGACTGGTGTTGACGGCAGCCGTTAGCCAGTGACACTCTCCAACAACACCTTTAGTCGTGCGACTGCGGAGGTTTGGCACCACCAATCGATGGTGATGAGCTTAAATTGAAGTCCTACAGCTCGTAGGATTCTCAGCCAATCCGCGGTCAGGAGTGCTGGCTCAGTATTTTGGCTTTCTGACCCGTGCGGTCTCTTCGGATACTTCCGCAATGTGAGCCAAATTCCTCAAGGTTTCTTCGAAACATATGCGCCTGCAGGGCCCCAATGGTGTTCCTGAGTCGTCTTGAGACTGGACCCCTAATGTGATGCTCTTCAATCTCATTCGTTTCTAGTTTGATCACTTCTGGCAATCTGTTGACTTTATTGTTCCCGTGGCGTAACCAACATCTGGATGTGCCTTCTGTGCCCCAGTGGATAGTTCCATTCCCTGTCACCGTTTCCAAAGTCTAGGTCGTAAGACAGGCGGAGACAAATTGCAAGGACGGCGGAGATTGCCAAAGGTCGTCACACACACACCGGGGCGCAGGTGCTTGTTGGTTTGGGCCCCATGATGCCACAGCCAGAGGTGTGTCGGTATTCACCGGCAGACAGACGACTCAAGGCAACTATAAAAGGCGCCAATGGAGGCTGTTTCAATTCTATCAACTCATTTCAGAGACGTGTAGTTCCAATCTTACAGGTAAGCCAATCATCGGAGTCTTTCCGGAGATCGTTTGCTGAAACAGAGCGTTGACTAGCACCTTTGTTGCGAGACGACAAAGAGCTGCATCTAAGAACTATATCATCTGCACTGCCCACGCTCGTTCTTCACCTGTTTCCATGGTCAGTCTTTCCTTGATTCGTAGACACAGAGACGCTTGAGGCGCCCTATTGTCATTCCTTATCTCTTTTGCATCTTTGTTTTGGGCATAGTCCCGGTCACTGGTTGATATCTCGAAGATGAAGTTTCTCAAGTTACCCGTTCTGGCTCTGGCTGGTCTTTTTACCGCGGTGAGCTGTGCTCCCACGGGCCAGAACACTACTGTTCCGGTGAATGGCACTACCGAAGCGTCGACTGATCGACTTGTCTTTTGCCATTTCATGGTAAGCCTTGCATTGAGTCTGATATGGCTGGACTAAACTAACAAATTAGATCGGCATCACCAGCAATCGACAGAGCGCTGCGGACTATGACGATGACATGAAACGTGCAAAATCTCTGGGCATCGATGCCTTTGCGCTGAATATCGGGGTTGATCCCTACACTGACACGCAGCTCAACTTTGCGTACGAATCGGCCGCACGTAATGACATGAAAGTTTTCATCTCCTTCGATTTTAACTGGTACAATACCGGACAGGCATCTACAGTTGGACAAAAGATCAGGCAGTACGGAAGCCTGCCAGCTCAACTCAAAGTTGATGGCAAGGTCTTCGCATCCTCATTTGCAGGAGACGGCCTTGACATCAACCAGATGCAGTCCGCTGCCGGCACCGAAGTTTTCTTCGCGCCGAACTTCCACCCCGGCCAAGGAAATTTCGGCAACATCCAAGGCGCACTGAACTGGATGGCCTGGGATAACAATGGCGATAATAAGGCACCCAGCGCTGGCCGCAACGTGACTGTTGGTGATGGCGATAAAGCGTACGTCAATGCTCTGAATGGAAAGCCTTACATTGCCCGTATGTGTCCCTCTGTGTTGTCCATGTGTTGGAATCAGTCTTGCTCATGATATACAGCTGCTTCTGGATGGTTTTTTACGCACTTCGGTGGAGAGGTATCCTACAGCAAGAACTGGGCGTTCCCCTCGGATCTGTTGTGGTACAACCGCTGGTTCGAGATTCTGAACCTTGCACCTCGGTTTGTGGAAATTGTTACCTGGAATGACTACGGCGAGTCGCACTATATTGCACCACTAGCTTCTCCACACACCGATGACGGCGCGTCCAAATGGGTCATGGACATGTAAGTCTCCCCGCCGTGTCCAGTCCAGCATACCAGCGAGGCTGACCAGAGTTCAGGCCCCACGACGGTTGGCTGCAGATGTCGAAGCCTTTCATCGCTGCATACAAGAACGGCGACAAGTCGCCCGACAAGTACATCAGCGAAGAGAAGTTGATCTACTGGTACCGGCCTACTCCAAGGAACATCAACTGCGACAGCACCGATACCACCATGGACGGCAGCCCCAACAACTCCTCTGGTAACTTCTTCCGCGGACGCCCCAATGGGTGGGAGTCCCTGCAGGATGCCGTTTTTGTTGTCTCCTTGCTTAAGTCTCCCGGCACAATCCAGGTGGCCTCGGGACAAAATAGTCAGAAGTTCGACGCACCGGCCGGCGCCAGCGCCTTCACTGTGCCCATGGGTGTCGGACAGCAGAAATTCGCTCTTGTCCGCGACGGCAAGACGGTGCTCAGCGACACCAGCCTGAAGGACATTGTCAACACGTGCATCTGCGGAATCTACAACTTCAATGCGTACGTCGGCACGGTGCCAGCCCCGTCCACCATTGACAAGCTAGGCCCAGCTGGTCTGTCGGCCCTTCAGCAGGGCTTGCGCGTGTCATGTCCGACTAACACACTGGGTCTGGGCTCAGTTGCGTCGGCGACACCAATACCCACGCCATCTCCTGCGTGAGAGTCATTTCTCTGCAGGGAAATCTAAGCTAAGATCATGTATCTTAACGTAGACCTATTGCTATGTATCTGTGCTTGATCTCCGTTGTCACATACACTCATTCATTCATTCACTACAACGGGGAGAGAGAGAAAGAGACTCGCCTGACCTGGAAGGATCCGGACATTCATTCAGATAGTGCATTGCTTCAATCAAGCCATCTACTTCCCACCCTTCTATAAAAATAAACTACCAAATAACCTCCAAGAAGCGTAAATCAATCCCTGCACCTCCCAAGCCACTTCCTCCTCATCCATTCCCACCGCCCCCGTAATCTCCGCACCCCGTATACATGTTCATATTATATAGGCTGTCTCTATACGGCATGATGTAGCTTATCTTCAGATGGATATCGTAAATATAGACTAGCTAGAGTAATTTAGGATAACCAGAAGGATAAATGTTTAATCGTTCAACGTGGGGAATCCATGGTACAATAGCAGTTGATCCAGAAGGGGGGAAAGTTTGTATACGGGGTGGACCTCGGGCCAGCGCAGCCCGACCAGTCCCTAACATCGGAATGAAAAGACGCCCTGCGTTGGACAAGAGAGATAGTGGCTGCCTGATGACCTGGCGGGCTGTCATACTATTTGCAGGATCTCCGCCTGAAACCCCGGGCGAGCCAATGCCATCTGGCAGCGAGAACAGATTTGTCTGTCTCCGACTGTCTCCGGAGCAGCTTATCGGAGAGACTCGAGCACTTATCGTGGTTTATCTCCCGCCGGCGCATTTAAACCACCGCCAGCCCCTGACCACATAGTTCGCTGCATCTCACCGACTTTCTCGGATCTACTTTGCTTATGACCTGTTGTGACCGGCACAATGATCTTCTCCGGTGAGGCAGTCTATTGTTGATATCTCTCGCCCCAACAGTGCCTCTGTTCCTCGCCATGGATCTGTTCGGTTAAGCCTGGCGCTTACTGTCGGTTTCCCCTCTCCATCGCCTACTGCTGTCCTTCAGCCCGGATCTCGCGTGATCGATTTCCATTTTCTACCTCACTTTGATCTGCTTCTCTCAGATCATTGCGCATACTTGTGAACTCATCTCTACTCTTACTTTGACACCATGGCTTGTTGACGGGTTGATCCCGCCTTGTGCTTATACTTGTGCTTCCTTGACTGTTTACCATCTCGTCGTCTTTTGTCCACGTGCCATATCACGACGCCATGGCGCGCAGCAAGCAGGGGGTGTTTTCTTGGGAGGATGTGTTGGCGCATCGCTACCAGAGTACGTATACCTTATCCCCAGTTACACTCCTAATATACTGGTAGCATACTAACCACTCATCGCTCACCAGACAACAAACCATCCGGGCTCCCCAGGTCACGACGATACAGCGCCGTTCAAGGCCAACGGACGTCCTCTAAACCCGACACCAGAACGGAATGGACCATCCAATCGCAAAGCGCCCTACTGGCCAAGCTATCGCCCGAGCTGCGACTCATGATCTGGGAGATGGTCCTGGGCGGCATGCGCATCCACATCATCCAACGTCCGAACCGGCGAATGGGCCATGTAGTCTGTCCCCAGACTAGCGCATGCGATATCTGTCGCGGCGGACTCCCAGGCATCAAAGAGTCGGCGGGTCTGCTGGCGCTGTCGATGACATGTAAACAGATGTAAGTCACATCTCATATACCTACTACATAGCCCAATATACTCATTGATACTCAGCTACTGCGAGTCTATCTATATGCTCTACTCGCTCAACACCTTTGAATTCAGCAATACCTGGTCGCTGACATACCTGCGACCCACCATCCCGGCCGACTTCTGGGACGTCATCCGCGAGGTCGAACTCCGCTGGGCGTTCCCGGGCCACTGGCTCCCCTGCAAGGACCCCGTCAAGTCGGTCTACTTGTCCGCTGGCCGGCAGCAGTGGGTCGAGACGTGTCTGGCTCTCACAGACATGCAGGGCTTGCAGACGTTCACGCTGCAGCTGAGTGGGAGCTGGTTCTGCGAGCCGGTGGAAAAGATCCCGGTGTTCTTGGAACCGCTACGGGCGCTGCATCTGCGACAACGATGGAAGTTGCAGCTGCCGAGGCAGCCATATTACGTAAAGGAGATTCGGAATATTGATGGGGATTTGAGAAAGCGGGGGATTGAGTGTGTGGTGAGGGTGGTTTAGCATTTTTGATAGCGTGTTAGCGTGTTGGCGATATATTTATACCCTTAATAGTTGCTGAGATATTTAATGGATGGAAATTGCGATTTAGAATATATTAATGAATGCATATTCTTTGTTGGTGTACTAGTATAGTAGTATCTATAGCACGCTCTGCCACACAATATATATACTAGTACCATGATCATACCCACAAACAGTCAACATATAGAACGCAAGCCGCCAACATCCTTATATATTTACATAAACCAGTCCAATTCAATATCATCTCCTGCTCACTGATACTATTACCACCACTATCACTACCCAGTATCACAAGTTAAAAGCTTAAATAATCGTATATCCCACCTCCCCATCCTATCCTCTACCCCAAACATCCCCCCCAGCACAGCACAGCACAGCACAACACAACAACAAGCACATCAACATTCCCACCCATCACCACAGAAACCCACTCGCCACAAGATACTCACCCATCAATCACCTAATCCAGGGGTAAGTTCACCTACCAGAATAGTTAATTATATAAGAAGACGATAATATTCTAACCGAGGAATGTGCGTATGTATGCATGTGGCGTAGACAGGTTATGTAGAGTAAATGTACCTGCGTCGATGGAGTACTGTAGCCTCTGTAGTCTAATTTTGTTTCCATTCTTCGGCGTTTGACGTGTCTTGGCTGCTTATTTGGGGTAGGAGGTGTTGAGTCAGTGGACTGGTTTGTTTGGTGGTGGAAGGGGGGGGTGGGGGATGTTATAGTAGGGGATGGGTTATTCTTTATGGAACGGAAATGAGCTCAACATTGTATTCTGAAATATCGAGGGTAGCTCGGGTAGTGGTTCAATTGGTCGTTGGTAGGGGTAACTGGCGCTGTTTAGAGTAGATGTATATTGTATATATGGCCATGTATAAGGATACCGAAATCCATCCTTGACTATTCATTGCTGCTTATGCCTACTAGCTCATGTCTAGGATAGTACTGGTACTAGCAGAGTATATACAGAGTCGTGGCGTCGTGAGGGGTTGTATTTCGGATCTCCAGAAGCTTCTTCTATGGCCAATGCTTGGGAGTGGATTGGGGATGATGGCCTGTAAACACCAAAGACAGGTGCACACATTCCCCCTTCGCCTGGGTGGAAAGAAAACAAGCTTATTATCCTCCAGTACCTCCTCGGTGGCATACGTCAATTCAGCTTTTGTGGTGGCTGGTGGCTGGGCCAAAGAATGTGTGGACATTCTTGACAAGGAATCGAGAGAGTTGCGAGATGGAAAGTTGATGAGGTGCTCAGTTGATCGGTTCCATGGATGAGATGTTAATCTTCATTTAAATGAAAATGGATGGAGTCAGTTCTGGAAGGGATGGTTCATGGTGTATGCTGGGATGGGTGAAGGTTATACAAGTATAATAGATGGGAGGTAAGAGAGGAGTGACATCAGTTGCATGCACATGGATTCCTTAGTGGTAGGCTCGCATTCTTGAGAATTGTGCCATTGAATTTCATTCAGGACAGTCGAGGGGAATTGGAGAGAAGACTGAGACAGACAGTTCAGCTAGTAGATAGAAGCAGAACAGGTGCTGGTGCTGGTGCTGTCTTCCGCCGACTCAACTGCACCATCTCATGTCGACCTGACAACGCCAAAATTCCCGAGCGGTGCCCCCGATTAATACTCCGCGGATGCACACTTCTTCTCTAGATTGTTTGCTCATTGACAGCCAGTAAATCAGGGAGCAGGCCTGGTGGAATGTCTCTTCCTCCCCAAGAATGGACAGCCGGCATACCGAGCCAAACAACAAACAACCAAATCTACGAGTCTGTTCCACTGATGTACATCCAATTACCCAGCTTAAGCTCAACAGCACCAAAGGAGGCAGTTTGTTAATCTGTCCATTGCAATGGATCGACCGTCAATAATCATATCAGACATATTAAATACATATCACTTCAACAGGCGGCCATGCACTTCAAATTCTTCTTCTCTTTCCCAGCCCCATCTACACACGTCGTACTACATACTTTAGGGTCTGTACTACTGAAGTAATCAACAACCATGCGACAGGCCATGTCCACTCGCCCCTTCGGTGCATTTCGAAGGGATGTTCAAATAGCTCAAGCTTCCGCCGCCCCGTATTCTTCGTACGGAGGTTCGTCATCTACCTACGACGACGGTCAGTGGCACGGAGGATATTCATCGGGCAGTTCATACGATCAACAAGCAGGCTCCGGTCAGAGCCAGTCAGGAAGTATGTCTTCAGGTAGTGGGAGCACAGGGAGCTCGGGCACAAGCGGAGGCTCTTACGGCGCTGGTAGTGCCGCCCAAGCCAGCCCTGTTGCTTCGACAGAGAACTCAGCGTCGTCATGGTCTGAAGGAAGTTCCGCCAACAGTGGCCAGGGCAATACGCAGGGGTGGAGTAGCCAATATGTTCAAAACTCACCGGCTCCATCGGCTGTAAGCGTGACATGGGAAACGTCGGCCATTCCTACACAGACAGCCACCTGGACAAGCATGACATCGAGCACCTCCACAACCAGCAATAGCACACCCACTGGCTCGAGCACTACCGAAACCGAAGCCCCCGCCAGTACAACGACAGCCGCCTCCGCCGCAGGTACCTCGCATACCGCTACGCCTCTGTCTACCAAGTTGGCCATCGGTCTGAGTGTTGCATTGGCTGTCGTGGCCATCCTAGGCTTCTTCGTGTGGTCATTGCACCGGAAGAAACGTGCCTTGCAGAAAGCAATAGCTGGCCACACCGGCCGCAACGAGAAGCCAGACCCTAGCCCACAACAACCATCAATGATGAAGAGATGTGTCAACAGCGTCTGCAACGGTGCATCAGCCATAAAGTTCAAGTCTACCAAATCGCGTCTACGTTCGAGTTCCATGCGTCTTCCTGGAGCTCCCAAGGCGGAGTACAAACCAATCAAGGACCTGGCACTCAAGGTATATGCCAATGGCCGCGGGATGCTACGTACGGCAGCGAACATTGCACGGTCTACCTGGAAGAAGTCGAACGTGCATGTTCCCCGACCTGCATCTGAGTATATGCACGATCCCAACAGTGTCTTGCGGGATGGCTTCCGTCAGATTCATCGGTCATACTTGTCTTTGCCTCAGGCACGCAGCATCAACAACAATAAGGATAACAAGGATATCCATCCCGCATTGCGAGGTCTACATTCCTCCACTGAGACATTAGTCGGGGCAGACATGGGAAGAATCAAGGAAGTAACCGTGTCCAACACTCCTCCAAAAGAAGAGACTGGCAGGATTCCAGAGGCCAATGTCGCTACAGTGGAGACCATTTCGCGAGGCACATCGACGAATTCCAGCTCCCCGGCAGTTTCGAGAAGCCCAACCATTGAGGTCCCTACTATCGAAATACCCACTTCTCCTGGAGCACCTCCAATTTCATTGGCTCGTGTGTATCGCGTCGACATGGATTTCCGCCCTGTGAGCCCTGAACACGTTGGACTCAAGGAGGGTCAAACGGCTATCCTACACCTAGTATACGAAGATGGATGGGTAAGACATCGCCCTTTGGTAACTCGTCGTATAACTCTAGCTAACATAGTCAGGCATTGGTCACTGTCCTCGAAACCAACAAGGAAGGCCTTGTCCCACGGGCTTGTTTCTCCGCCCAACCTATACGGAACCAAGCCCAGTATCTCGGAAACAACATCAGTATCTCGACGGATCACGTTCCTCGCTCTCCGCGTCCTGCGACTCCCACCTCTCCATGCGAGTCGACATCTGATGGCGACCTCGGACGGTTCTACTCGAACTGCGTGAGTCCGGAGTTGCCGCCAGTTGACGATGAGAGACCACAGACGCCGCGGCTGAAGTCCTTGCCGTCGATTGCGAGTTTCCTGAAATCACCTCCCAGCTTTAAGAGCATGGTTTAGGTGGCTAGTAGATTTCGCTTCATGTGAATATTCGGTGTGACCCGTGTTAAGCGACGGGTGCACTTTTATTGTATATAAACGATATCATAATGTCTTGTGCGGATACCTTATAAAATATTGATTTGACACGTTGGTTGATAGATCTCGATAGTAGATGTTGCGAGACATGAGATGGCATGTTTCGCATTCCCTCGTCCATTTGTGAACTATCTACTCTGGGAGTGATCCATCGTTACACGGCTCCTTTTCTGTAGCAGTTCGTCTTCATCTTCATCTTGCTTCTCCCGCTCAAGCGTCCACTTATTAGTAGGGTAAGACCTCCCATGGGTGTACACCAGCTGCGTTAAATGGTTTGCCTTAATCACAAGAGCAGTCACATCACACATAGCAGCTTATTGATTCCTAATCCTTGACATATCAAGATGGCAAATGTGCTCAGGATGTACTCTACATGCATCCTCAACCATGCTATATATATTATGCATAGTGTCTGTATCTCTAAAATGATTGCAGTCAGTACATGCTCAATCCATTTCAGTGTGTGTTTCGGGCAGTAGATATCCTAGATATAAGTATAAAATGCTCATAACTAGCAGTAATATATATTTCCAGTCATGTCATCATTCTACCATTTATATTAAGTTATCACAGCAATGATGAATGGAATAAACAGAAGGGCGGAAAGGATCCTTGTTCGGATGCAGTGTCTACTATCCACTACATATACTTGGTAGATGTACCTGTGCAGTAATAACCCTCCATCCATAGCCTACTTTGAACCTACTACTAAACCCAGCTTCCAATAAAACATTTAAAATGAACATAACACCCCATAAATACATATTAATTATTCCACAGCACTTATACTTGAAAATGCAGTATACATCCACACAAATATACACAAAAGTATGGGCATAAATAAAATACACATACACAGCAATACCACCACACAATCCCACACTCACATGACACCACAACCGACGAACCACAAGCGCCCGTTCCAGTGCAGATCACCGCTGATTTCATTTACCGTCCGAAAGAAAATCCATCTAAATATAGCTACGATGCTATCTTAGCGTGCGGGGTCTTCTTGCTTTCTTTCTTTCTTTGATGCTTTTGTTTATTTCTATAATTTTCGTATGAATATATTCGAATAAATTTCTATGTCTATACAATATGTATCAAGATTCACGTTATATTTCAATCATGAACTATCTACACACATACATAGTTGAAAGTAGATGGGTCACCGAGATAATATGGGGCCAACATTCCTGTTCCTGAACCATACCTCACTACGTACTACCTATTTACCCACCCACACACACACACACACCTAACTAAACTAAACCGTCCACCCCGTAATACCAATTAATTAATTTCCTCAATTAATCAATCAATCAACTATCCGGATTCCATCCCTGTCTCACTTCTCACCTCATTCATCCACCTCATCATCCGACTCCGACTCCCGAACTGACACAGTCAACAAGTCACTAGCCAGGTACACACACAACACGGTCGGGTAATTCCCATCCTTCTTTACCCGTTCTATCCTATCTCCTTCCTTACTATCCAAGTAAGTAGTGTCCTGATTTCCTGATTTAGTTGCACCTCGTTCGTTCGTTCCTGAACCCGTTCCACGTTCCAACCCTCCCTCCATTCCGCTTTCTGAAACCTTAGCTACTTTCGGATCACGTTTTCATAGCCTACGTGGTATGCTACCCTAGTAAATTAGATAATCAATCTCGCTTCAAGTGAGTCCATATCCTCCAGCCAGCCATACTACTATCTAGTACATAGCCAGTAAATAAATCAAAACATTTATTTTACGAATGGCAACCAGTAAGTAAAAAACCGGGCACGTATATTCATTTCCCAAACCGGGGAGAAAATCCCCCATCCCTAAGGATCTAGCGTACCTTGTTTTGGGGGGGAGTGTCTAGGCTAAGAACGGGGTGGAAATTGTGGGTTCTGAAAGTGGAGAGTAACTTAGTCTAGTAGAAAAAAAGTAAAAGGGGGTTGGTTGGTGGGTTTTGGGTTGGAGAGGTTGGACCCTGAATTTTCTTTTCTCTACTCTCGGTTCCAAAAGTCTTGGCTTGGGGTAAGATTTACCTTTGGGTAAAGGGTGTTGTGAGGTTTGGTTGGCGGAAATTAAGGGTTCTTCTTTTCGTTTTTCTTTTGGTCACTCTTTGTGTGTGTATTTGTGGAGGGTATTATTATCTTTCATTGATATAGTTTTTTTCTCTATATTATTATTGATGTATGTATGTATGTATGGACATATGGGCTGATGGTTGATGAATGATGGAAGAAGTAAGCTGGGTCCGTCTGGGTCTGTTGGAGAAGACGGAGGGGACAGAGGGTCCGTTCAGAAAGTCCGGGCGAGGCGCGCGAAAAAAAATCTTGATGATGGTGCGTGTAAAGTGCACTTTAGGGGAACACAGACAAGGCATAGATTTACCCCATAATAACTACGATCTATTGATCTTGATAAGGGTCTCGACCAAGACAAAGTGGATATGATTTCTATCTCGACGATGATCGTGTCGAACTATCAGTTTATCCACAGTGCAAGGACACAAAAAGAGGACAGGACTAGTTTAGTACGAATTGGTCTGATTGCAATACGAACGGCTGAATCTAGGCGATGCACGTATCTTCCCATCTACGCATGGTGGTAAGAAAAGTATCAGTAGATGCTCAATTCGGTATCTGAGATCGCCAGGAGTCAGAACAAAAATGGAAAATGAAGGTGCCGCTGCGCCTGTCAGACCCCAGCGCCGAAACATCTGTCTCATAAACGCGGCCATGACTGGCCAACACCAGTGCTTGGCATGCACCCTAACAACAAAACACGGGATGAAATGAAAATGAAAATGAAAATGAAAAATTGGAAATGATTATAAGGAAATTAATATGGAGAAGCTGAGGAAATGCTCAAGGCTAAAACGAATCCAAATGAAAAGCCTGTCACGATCGCGCCTCCCAACCTGCCCGTTTCCCCAAGGTATCCGATTATATAACCTGAAAATGCATCATAAATAAAGGAAAGGAAATGATCTGGTGGTGGACAAAGTGTCACATAAAAAGGAAATCCAGAATGAATGAGTAGATAGGATGGGGATGGTAGATAACCACCCCAGATTGTTGTGGCGAACACTAGTAGTATTCGCAGCCCGCCGACCGAGGCGGTCGCCTCGGGCGCGGCTGGGCGAGAAACGACCCGATTCTCGTCCGGACATGAGCCCGGACGCCGGCAGAGGTGTCATTAGAATCCATACGGAAATGCTCCTTAGCAATGGAAGGATGTAGCGAGTCGTGAAACATGCGATGCCGCTGATGTGAATCCGATAACAGGCGGAGGCCAATCGTGTATCTCGTATCATGGTGTCGTCCATCGAGAGACGGTCCAGCCAGATTATGTGGTCGTGTAGGGTTGTACCTTGCGGGAACCCGAAGTCCCGACCGGTCGCTGCGTACCGATCAAGAGGCACCGAGCCTTACGTGCCGCAAGGTGACATTATGAGGGGTGAGGGCTGAGACACGCCCAAAGTTACCGGCCGTTGTGCGATCCGTCAGGGCCAGAATGGCCAGAATTCCTCTGTCGAGTATCGAGCCACTCCATGGGGACATCCTGCCGCGAGGCGGGCGTCTTCTGATCCTCAGGTCGGCCGGTGGGTGTGTTCTGGGGGAAGAGGTTGTTCAATTCCGCAGCAAGGGCGGACGCAGTGTAGGCACGCAGCTCCCTCTCTTCACGCTCATCTTCCTTCATCAGGCGTCGCTGATCCGTCTTCGAGAGATTCTCCCGGCGCTTCTTCCGGATCTCGTGGATCACCCACACAAGCACCTCCTCAGGAGCACGGTTCCGGGCCTTGCCATGTCGTGTTGGGCTTCGAACATAGCGTCTAGTAACATCTGTGGCTCCATCGATCGAGAATGCAACGCAGTAAGAGATTTTCCGTCCCCAGCCTATAGCTATGGTTAGCGTATGTCAGACGAATGGACACTAGATACATACCCTCAGTGTAGAGACGGGGCTGATCCCAGGCCTCCTCACAAGCATCTACATGCACCCAACGGCGCTGATGCTCCGAGTACACCTCAGTCCAGACGTGATCCTCGGCGTTCCACACCCATCGTACACGTCCACCAAGGGCTCTGCAGAACATGCTAAAGCAGTTGGCCCATTCACCGGCACGTCCTCGTCGAGTTTGCAGCAACTGCCACACATCCGAGTAGCGGGGGAATCTTTCGTAGGCACCACACATTCCTTCCGAGCATCGGTACAATTCGACACGAGTTGCACCGCGTGCGGTCTCATCGGGCGACGGGGGAGTCATTCCTTGGGCGATCGAGGGCGAGCCGCATCGAGCGCAGGGAGGGTTATTGACGAACTTAAAGAAGCAATTCTTGAACCACCTATATCAAGATCGGTCAGCAAAGCTCAGAAAACGATTCATTACTTTGATAAAAGAACTCACCTGAGGAGCGCCCGAATGACGCAGTCTTGGTATCCCCATTCCGGCTTTCCTCCTACACTAGCTGCCTGAGCCTGCATAATCTGGCTTTCTTCCTCTGCCTCCGAGTACAACCGGTCAAGGGGAATATGGGCGAGAGCCTCATCCAAAAGACCGGGGTTCTCATATTTGGTCGGTGTTACAGAAAGAACGTGGAGAAGATTGCGAAATTTCAGAGAAGCCGGATCTTGTGGGGGAGCAGGAACGATAGGAAGATTGCGGAGCAAGGGTGATTGAGTAGACGTTTGCGGAGGCATTTGGGGAGGGTATTGGGCGGCGGTCGGAGGCGGTGGTGGTGGTGCTCGCGAGGGATGAGGCGGGTACAGGCCAGGGGACATAGCCGCGGGCGCTGGTGATTGTGTGCGGGATGAAGCTCGGGACTGTTCCTGAAGCTGGTTGAATCTCTTGTTGCGCATCAATTGTTCGAAGGCGTTGGTAAGTTCTGAGGCGTCGAAGTTCTCAGGCTGCAGCGCCGGGTTG